AGTTTGCTTAGCGCGGTTTAGGTCGGTTTAAAGTATAAATATCGCGCATTCCGCTTAGCGCGGTGAGCCCTCTAAGCGCGGTCTGCTAATATTTGTTTTATAACTTCATTTTCAGTTTACTTTTTGTTATGGTTTTGGGGAAGTTTTTGCTCCCAACTCCATCAACCTCCAATTTTGTTAGGATTAGATTAGATAACAACTATGGAGTTTGCATACGAATGATCCGGGGTGGATTGCACTTCGATCGGGGATGAAAAACTGGTAGATTTGTGGTTTATTCCTCTTTTTCTTTGTATATTCTCTTTTGGTTGGGTTTGTATATGTATTTACTTTGATCTTATGTATGTTTGTCGCCCTTGACGTTATATAAAACTTGCTTTAAAAATCTTTGTCGATTGTTATCCTTGATTTTTGCTTTATGCTATGGATTTGAGTTGCTATAGACATATACTGCTTAGATTCTTATTTAGGATGATTATCTAATAGTGTCTGAATTCTAGAGGTAGATTTAACGTTGTTATTCACTTAGGATGTCTGTGATTAATGCTTTTGTGTTATTTGTGTCACTCTGAGAGATCGTCAATGCAAGCGAGTATGGTTGATTTCTGTGTTGTTGAGGTGGTTGAGAGATCGCTACCGAGGTGATGCAGTCGGCCTCTCAATTTGGGTTAGAAATGACTTAGGTTGTGAGTGATACGTGGTGACATTGATGAATATTGTAGGTTTAGTATAACAGGTTGATAGGTTTAAGTTTGTGAGAAGTAGTATATATGCATGCTTTATAAGTTATTCCTTTTTTCTTTCTATACGTTTATTTTCTGTTGATACCTTTTACTTTTCCTTTCAACCCATTAAACCCAAAACTCATTAACGAGAGATTTGTCAAATGACATTTCAATTCACCAATCTCTGTTGACACAGTACGATATAACTATATCACCCGGTAAATTAATAACTTACTTTTTGCTTACCGCTTTACCACTTCCAGCAAAATGATGCTGGTAAAGCGGCAAGCAAAAAGTAAGTTATTAATTTACTGAGTGATATAGGTTATATCGTATCATGTCCATAGAGATCAGTGAATTGAAATGTCGTTTGACAAGTCTCTCGTCAATGAGTTTGGAGTTTAATGGATCGAAAGGAAAAGTAAAAGGTATCAACAGAAAATAAATGTATAAAAAGGAAAAAGGAATAACTTATCAAGTATTCATATATACTACTTCTCACAGACTTAAACATATCGACCTGTTATACTAAACCTACAATATTCATCAATGAGATATTTGTCGAACGATATTTCAATTCGTCAATCTTTCTGGATACGATACAATATAACTTATATTACCTGGTAAATTAATAACTTACTTTTTGCTTGCCGTTTTACCGCTTCCAACAAAATGTCGCTGTTGTCGGGGAATTGTGTTTATTGATTCGCATTACGATAAGTTTCTTTGTTTTTTAGTTTTATAATTAATGTATATATTGTATAGAATGTGTAAATAAACTTGTCTATTTTTACTTGTACATGTTTTGTATTTACTTTCCATACTTGTGCATATATATATTTTTCTTTGTTTTCACGTATTGTTGTGAATTATCTCATTTTCATAATGTTTGTTGTATGGATGTTAGGACACTTTCTTTAGGTTTGCGCGGTGTGGACAATACCATGGCATGATGAGAGGAGGTCACTAGCTCGCACAATAAAGGCGTCGAGCTTACAACGTAAAACAAGCATGTTTTATTTGTATTCGTTTATGTATGTGTTGACTCGTGTTTTAACAAGTTGAGATTTTACTTGTTTTAAATTCTCAAATTTTCACTTTTCAACTTGTTAATTCACTTTCAACTATTTGTTTTGTTATGTCAATTTGTGTTTTTATGAAAACTTGTTGTGTTTAGCTTGAGGAAGTTTGTGTGTTGTAAATATTGTACATGTGTAGTTGAGATTATGTAGGTGATTATGGAGGGTGTTGCTGAATTGTTGTTGTTGTCCTGGTTTTTCTGCAACCGGTGTAGCGCGCTTAACGCGCTCTGTGCCGCTTAGCGCGCTCTGTGCCGCTTAGTGCGCTCGGCTGTGCAGAGCCAATGAATTGTTTTTAATTTTTTTCTTGGCTCTCCTTTTCCCACTTCACCCAAGGATTTATAGTATAATAATTAATAATAATATTTTTAATTCTTTCTTTTGTTATTTGGACTCAAGTTTTAGTTAGATAGCTTGAGGTCGTTTTTGGTGATTTTCTGATTTTGAGTGTTTCAACTTGCAGATGTATGGTAATGATAGTTTTTGAAGTTGGTACTCACCAGGTACTCGTTTATCGCTTTCTATAACATAACATGTTTAGGAAACTTTTCATTTGTACAATTACCATGTCATTCATTCTTTTTGCATTACTTGCTCATGACTTGAATCACTTTAGTTTCCTTTTTACTCATAAATGTGAGGAAGCTTTCCATTTTTCACATATGATGAAGGCCACAATTCTTGTTTTAACTAGATATTAGTATGTTTAATCTTTTATTTGTGTTGATTGTATGAAAGCATGAACGTGATCAAAACACTTTTGTTTCATTTTGAGCACAACTACCTAACTAAATAGTCAATTCACCTTGTGAGTGTATGATCGTTTGTAACCCCTTTGAGCTTTTTGTCTATCTCTATGTTGTTTTTGAACCTAATGCTTGTCTAAGAGTGTTTGGTTTTTCTTTTTAAATGGATGTTGATTATTTATTTTCTTGAACCCTCAACTATGATTTTTAGTTGAATTTTTACCTTGCTTTTGAAAGTAGGGGGTATTAATTTTAATGTTGGTTGAATTCAAGTTGGGAAGAGATTTATTTGCTCACTTATATTGTTGATTGCTATGAGGTTGTAAAAGAAAGAAAAATAAAGAAGAAGAAAAAGGGAAAAAGAAAGAAAAGAAAAAGAAAGAAAAAAGAGAAAAGTTTTGAAAAAAAACAAAAAGAGTATGGAATAATGTTGTGTTAATAACTAATGTGTGTTGGTTTGAAATTTGGAATGAAGAAGAAGTTTGATTGAAATTATTTTGTTTGAATCTTTGTGAGTTGATCACTCCCTTAGGTTAAGGAAAGTTTTTGTTTCGATTAGCTTTAGAACTCATCCCTTGTTTGTTAACCAAACCACATTACAACCTTGAAAGGGCCTTGTGATTCTTGCCTTTGTATCTTAAATATGAGTTTTTGGATGAATGCATAATTTAGTCTATTGTTTGCAAGATTATGGATGAGTGTTTTTTGTCCCTCGCCTTTGTGTGTTATTCATCTACCGATGAATTTTTACTATGTGTGATTCATGATTGAGCTTGTTTTGTTTTAGAATGTTTAATATGATTTTTGTACTTAGGATTCGTTTCATTTACATGTTGTCGTTGTAGGATTGTGGTAAGTATTTATCTTGTGTGTGCATTTTTGTTTGAACCATACATTTGTTTTCCGTTTTAAAACTTGTTGATTCATGATATTTTAGTTGATTACTTTTGGTTCTTTGAGTTATTTAGCCTTGTTGATTCATGATATTTTAGTTGATTACTTTTGGTTCTTTGATTCATCATTGTGCAGTGTTAGTGTTGTAGAATAATGTTTATGTTCGGTGAATCTGAAGGCAGTAATTGGGGTTAATATGCAGAAGGTTGATAAAAATAAAGGGTAGTTGTTGAAAATTGAAGATAAATGAAATGG